TTTAGTACTATTTTATCTTCTGAGTGTATGATTTTTAAAGGAAACTTTTGCCTAGGTAACTTCTTTTTAGAAAATAGAATTTTATTTCTTAAGGAAACAGATGTCCTGCTGAACTATAGTATATATGGTTCAATTAAAATTTTATTAGTTAAAATGAAGTAAGCTTAAAAATTTTTTCCTTAAGAAGCCACTGTGGCCTGAATTGAGTTCAGAGCTGCTTCTATATCTTTTCATTTATTAGTTACTTGAATGTCTGTCACTTTGATACACAGTCTGTCTTCCGGTATATAAAGTAATGGTTCTTAAGCTTTAGCACACAAATCACCTGAGGGTACTTATTAAAACTTATTATTCAGGGCTGCAGCCATAGCCGTTCTGACTCCTAACGTAAAGGTGGGGCCCAGAAACTGCAGTTTCCAAACAGACACCATAGAGGTTCTGATGTAGGTGGGCTATAGTTTGAGGAACTCTCTCCTAAACAAGGTTCCATAGGGTCAGAAGTTTAAAAATTGTTCCTTTCAATTTCACAAATATTTACTCATCCATTAGTATTTATCAGTCACTTTTTTTGGGAAGCATTATGAAAGGTGATATTAGTATTACAGACCATTATTTTATTGTGTGGATTAAAGACAGTTTTATAAATTTAGGTAGCTACAGTTTGCTAGCATTTTGTTGCTTGTAAGAAGTGATACTTGGAAAAAATTCAATAGCAAAAGAAAGACTGCAGCTTTTTAAGAATTGGGAAGAAAATTGTTTAAGTGTAGATTATGTAGTTTGATTTTTTACATTTCAGCCTGTTCTGAGTGAGGCATTAACAATATTAGAGTGAAATACATATGTTTGGTTCTTCTCTACCCAATCAGTATTCCACATACCATATGACATATGGGATTGTGTATAATATTAAAGGCTGCTGTGTATATATATCAGTCCCATATGTATTTCTCATTCCTACAGTCTGTGTCTCATATGGCCAGAACTCTCATTGTTAGCATTAAAATTTTTTATGTTAAATTAAAAATTTTTCATTTTGCATCCCTTATTAGTGTTATATGTCCAAAACTGTCTGAGTGGAAAGTGATTCCTCATAACGTTATTATCTTCTCTTGCTGCTTTTTCTTTTCTCCCTGAAAAATTGGTGGACGTGTTTTGGTAGTCTGTCTTGCTTAATGTCTCTCAGAAATATGGCATAATTGCTTTCATGGAAGCAGGGTGAGGGAAATGACCTCAATCCCAGACAGACTGAGCTCTCCTTTTTTATCTTACTTGATGCTTCTGGTTTGATGATGGTATGGAGTTGATATTGGTGGCCCTGATAGGAATGACAGTGCTTTTTACCACTTGCTGGTGGAAGTACAAAGCTGTCATGCTTGAAAACCATGGATACAGCTTATAGAGGTCTGTAAAAAAAAAAAAAAAAAAAAAAAAAGTGTGAATAGAAGGGTAGAGATACTTAGGGCTTTTTTCACACCTTATTTTATCATGAGCCGGGGAGAAATATTACTGTGTTAAATTTGCTCATCTCTTTTTCTCTCATAAAAGTGAGTATTCTTTCGAAGGTGATAGCTTTTGTATTAACGATGAACCCAATTTTCCTTTTGTTTCTACATCTCAGTACTACTGTGTTCCAGATGTTTGTGAATTGTTATAATATTCTTTCATTCTACTTCTTATGATGTAATATATGTTATCATATTACTAATCTGTCCAGTCTATCTGTTGTCTGGGTTTTATTTTAATCCTTTCATTGTTTGGAATGCTTTTTAGCAAAAGTCTTCAAATTAGCTTTCTTTTGTGAACTCTAACCCACAGTTCTGTGTTCTCTTTGTATTTCTCTTAAGAGTTGAGCATCTCTGACTATTTTAGATCTTTTTCCTGTCTTATCTGGGTTTAATTATCTCCTTATATTTCTTGTTTATATTGTGATCTGAGCTTCTCTCTTCCCTAAGATTTATTATTAGTCATCTCACATTTAGCTTTCCTTGACTTCACGCCAGTCCCATAGGGGTCTCACACAGGTGTCTGTCTCTGAGATGTAAAGAAAATAGGTGTCAAAAGTTTTCTCTAGTTTTTATATTTCTTACTGAGTGGAAAGGAAGAAAAGAAATAAATTATTTTATGGTTTTTCTCTTGCTTTTAACTTCCATTTAGAAAAAGAACCTGCTTCACAGTTTGCTAAGTTACCTTTCTTACCTTTTTGAAGTGTAACTTGAAGCTATTTAATTATAATAGAAAAAGGTTTAAGTATTTGATATTTTATCAATATTATTTTTTAGAAACTTTGCTTATATGATTTTTTAATTTTTAAAAATTATTCTTATGCAACCATTAACAAGGAATGAAGGTGATATGTATATAATGAGTTGGATGGATATTTATAATAAATTATTAGGAAAGAAGCAAAGGATCATATTTATATTTTTTGCTTCGTATACCTTGGAATTTTGCCATTGTTTATAATTGAAAAAAGTACCAAAGAAGAAAATAATGCGTTTAATGGAAAAACTGAATAAACCAATATGTGAAATATAAAGTAGATAATTTAAAACATCAAATAGGAATTTTCATTTTGAATATTTGTAATAACGAGAACATTCTTGAATAGTTGTTTATTTTACTTAATTGAATTTTCTGCTTTGCCAGAAATTCTTTTTGTTTTTGCCCTTGTTACCCATGTACTTTATTCAAAGCATAATTTAAAAAGTTCTTAGATCATTGAGGAAATCTAATTTCTTGTGGTCTTTTTATGGCCATCATTTTTAATTCTTCACTCTCTTATAACAGTTGGCTTTCTAGTCAGTTGGATACCGTATTGATTCTGCATTGATGTTGCCTGTCGCATCTGTATGCTCCTTTGTAGAGCTACTGCCAGCACTTGTTGTCAGGCCTTTCATTACCTATCAAGGTGATGGTAGTAGCTTCCTATCCTCTGTGTTTTCTTTGCTTTCTCAGCTTCCCATTTCTGTGTCTTAATCAACTCTTTCTACATATTGCTGTTTTTTGTTTGTTTGTTTGTTTGTTTTTCCCTGTAGCTTATTTCTTATCGCGTTATTCCCCTGCTCAGATTTCTCTGCTGGCATTTAAGGCCTCTGTCTTTTGGTTCTAATTTAACTTACCATATCAACTTCTCACTACTGTATTATTTTTCTTCTAAAGAGAACAATTTACTGTTTCCAGGATATGCTTTAGTAGCTTTCCTCAACAATGCTTTTGTTTATATTGTTCTTAAATCCAACATACTTCTTTTCTTATTAAGTTTGTTAAGAACTTTATTCTTTTTAATTTACATTTGCCACATTCTGCTTTTTTCATAGGTATTACCATACTTTTTACTACCTCGATTCTAGATTTTAAGCTCTGAGGGTAATATATGAGTTTCAGCCACAATGCCTTCTACCTTGTAAGGATTCAAATGTTAATTGAATTACAAAGCTCACTTAAATGTACAATCATAAAATATAATAAAACCAAAAGTTTTATTGACTTTGGAAGGTAGTCTTGAAATTACTGTGTTGAATAAAGCCCTACGAATAAGCACTTCCTTTCTTATACTTTTAGGTTTTTACGTTTAAGTCTAATCTCAGTGAAATGAGGAGTTTGATTTTTTAATGTCCAGAGAGCTGAGATTTTGCTATAATTTTATTTGGGGGATTAAAAATTGACTTATTATGGGGGAGAAGTATAGAATTATTCATTGCTATGAATGACATTTTTAAATAAAGCATCATTGTAAATAATTCATTTTTATTATGTCTGAACATCAGTTGGGTACTAGTTGGTAGAATAACAATGACCTTAAATTAGGAAACAAAAGAGAAAACAACAGTTCCATATCTTGTTGAGCTCACCTTTGGTTAGTTTTTAAAAGAATAGTTTTTAGTAGTTTTCAAGAACTAACCCCGTTAGCTATATAGAAATTGATATTATTTGTGGCATATGGATAGAAAAATATGATTTTAAGAAGATCCCATATTGAATGTATTGTTACCTCTATTGCTTTTGCATTTAAAAATTTCATTCTAACATGAAAAATTAGCATTAATGCTTTTTTGGTAAAATTATTTGAAATAAAGTAAAAAATTTACACATTGTGTTAAGGGCCATCGTAAGAAAAATAAAAATATTTCACCCTTTCATTGAACAACATTTAAATAAAAAATTATCTAAGCTTCTCATTCTCTCCTTTAAGCTGAGATCAGTAATTGCAAACATATTTGTGACTTGTTTTTAAAAGCTGAACTTTTAACATAAATGTTATTTTGGTTTACATATTATTTAACACTGAAAAGCTACTAGAGGTTATCTGGTAAATATGAGTATTCTTTGTTGTAAACCAGTGGGTGCACTTTTGTATGTCTGAAAGATTATTACAGGTGGGCAGAAATGCTTGTTAATAGTTCCAGTGTCAAGTGTAGAAGTAGTAACAGCTTAGAGGGCAACATTATAATATTTGCTATTCTTTATTTTGTTAGATTTCTTATTACAGAGAACAAGAGGGCATGAACGCAGTTTAGGCAGATTTATTAGAAGAATGTTTTTAAACTGAGTTCTTTGGCATGTTTATAGACTTGAAGATGAAAAATATTTAGAACACAATGGATTTTTCTTAACATGAAGACTTTTCTAAAAATAGTCTAATTTTTATTAAGATTATAAAGCTAAATATTAAAATATTTATGCTCAGAAATCCAAGTACAAAATTATTTAAAAATTTTTAAATGAATATATTAGGAGATACTCTGTGCTAAATATATTTGTCGAATGAAAATTTTCTTAATGTCTTTATGCAATACTAATTTCTCTTTAAGTTTTCAAAAAATTAGTCTTAGTTGTTTATGCTACATTTTGTCAAATTGAAGCATTTCTTTAATTCCATAAAAGAATACAAAGTAAGGCAGGAGGAAACCGCTTCTTTGCCAAGATTTGACATTATGTCATCATAACATTATTATCAGAAATATATCACTGTTAAATTTGTCATGTAAACCTCAATGAATTCCTGCTATTGCATGGTTCTCATTTCCCCAAGGGATAAGGTATTCAGTGAACTAAATTGGATGAATTTCATTTATTTACATAAAAGTGGTATATTATTGAATTGGTTGTTTTCTTCACAGTCCAACATTTAATTTTTAATTATAGAAGACCACCTAATGAAAACATGTTTCTTTCAATGAGAGATTATTATTGCATGACATAAAAATTTTTTATTTAAAAATGAGTTGCTACTTGATTTAGTGAATACAGTATGAAAAAACAATAAAGAATTGTCCAGTTAACCCATTACAGGGGAGCGAGTATTTGCCTACTTTAAATAACTTATTGCTGTTTTTCAGGTACAGTAATAATTAGCACTCATCAATAGATTATTAGATTATAACAATTGGAAAATACTTGTGTGATATGAGATTCTCAAACCTGATATCTATAGTTAGAATTAGTAATTTCACAGTTTTTTAACATGAATTGGGGATTGGAGGCAAAATGCTTTAAATTTAATTACGTGGTGTAGAGTAAAAAAATTCACAAGATTTATTGCCACTTTAATGACTTCGAGAGTTGAAAAGGACTACTATATTTGGAAACACTTGGGAGCTCTGAGAGTGTAGGAACATTGTGTAAATTGTATGACTCTAAAGTTGTTATGTTTCTAAAGTTAGAAAGAGTTGGCTTTTCTATAATGACATAAAGTCTTTTTTTTTCCTTCCTTGTATTCAGATTTTAGTAGTTAACTTCTGTTATACAAAAAGGCTGACTTGAATAAAGTTAGGATGTCTGTTTATTTTAATGCACTGTTTTTTGCCAGTATACTGTATTTCCAGAGCATTTGGGTTAACTCAACCAAAGTGAGGAAGGAGGAAAGAAGCCTTAGTTTTCTTCCTTTCTTTTATTGTCAGTTCATTTGTATATTATAGGCATAGTGCCCTTGATCTTAGAAAATCAGTCTCTTTTTCATAATAAACTTGAATTTCAAAAGTTTCCCTATCTTGATGTGCATATACACGGTTGTTTGTTTTTTGGTTCTTGAATTTTAAAATCCTGATAAATCCTACAATTTCCTACATTCCAAAAAGGATAAAGTTTCATATATAGTTCATTATTTTTGATGAATCAAATATTATAGCAAGTAGACTATGCTAGAAAACATAATATAGTGGTATGGAAAATCCTGGGTCATTTTGGTTGCTTGGAGCCCATAATTTTGGTTTTTATGTTAAAATGCTATTCCAGTTGTTAACATATAGATATATCTATAGTTTGTGGCTTAGAAACAATACACTTTATAAAAAAAAAAAAAAAAGCAAGGATACCTGTGTCAGTTATATTTTAAAGTTATACAGTGTTTTAAGGCTATGTATTTATTCTTTAGAAAATATGACTTACATAAATATCTTCTGATGGACATAATATTGACAAAATATACACATGATATTACCTTAACAAACTGCCATGCAACAAATACATTAAGTAATGAAGAAATTGAATATATATGACCTAATCTAATCTTGACATTTACATTGAAAATTTACAACATAACCAGTACTTAAAATGTTTTTCTTATATTTGGCAGTAATTTTTTACAGTTTAAATTTAAAACTTCTGAGTGTGGGTTTGGTGAAACTTAGCCTTTTCCCTAGTCTGTGACAACCTGAGGTACTAAACATTTTTCTCTAATTTCACTATCTTCAAAGGTAATTTTTTTGTTTCTTTTAGGATCTATCCAAGAGTTGTGTATTACAGCATTATTAGGCATGGGATCAGCTTCTACTATGGAAACAACTCGCTTTTTCATTTTACTTTTCAAGACCTTTTGAAATTTTTGTCTAGTAAATGCATATAATAGAGGATGAAATATAGTTGTTCCATAACCCATGACTAGAAAACACAACCTTAATTTTACTAAAAGGTCACTTGGGCCTAAACATAAAATGGTGGTATTTAAAACAGAAATTGGTGTCCAGCAGAGAAGAAATGTAGAAATAATCAATAAAGACATTTTGAAGACCCTCTTTTGCCTTTCTCGTCGTTCACGGTGTCGTTTCATAGCTCGCCGGAGGGCAATTATTACAGAGACTGAAGTTCTAACACCAAAGACTACATTTCTCCCACCACTGCTTTGTGACATGTCTGTAGTCTCGTGTTGTGTGGTTAGAGAAATCGTCTTTTTCTTTCTTGCTTTCTTCTTCTGCCCTGTTGAGAATCTTGTGCCTATTCGAATATTGAGGGCCTGAAGTATTTTGGTGTATGTGATTAACATTACTATGACAGTGAAAAAGAATATTGGGATCTGTACTAGCAGGTGATAATACATTCCCAGTTCAGTGTAGTATTCATTCGTACTGACACACAGAAGTGTCTTGTTTTCCCATGTATTTCCACTTTGAAGGCTGAAAAAATCTACCTCAATAAAGGGAATCAGGAATGAGAAAAATGAAAAAATCCAAATGGATATCATTAGCATTACAGCTCTGCCCATTGTCAGAATTCGGTTTGCAGGCTTTACAGAGATGTCATATCTGTCCAAAGTGATAGCAAAAACGTTGATTGCTGTTGAGACACTTGTAAAAGATACACAGGCCTCATGGAAACAGCAGATGAGAGCAGTGTTACTCTCCAGTGAAAGCAGAAGAATAACTATAGTTAGAGGAATACATCCCACACAAATGATTACATCAAGTACATGAAGATTCATCGTAATAATGTTACTGACAGAGTTGATTAAGTTGGATTTCATGCAGTAAAGTACCAATACGGTGAGGTTGCTGCCAAGTCCCAACACAATTTCTAACATAAGAAATCCGGTGAGAGACACTTGAAAGCTTAATGGATATGATAGTGGTTGGTACATATTGGTGTTGATGTCATCAATGTCATCTCGCACTGTAATGTTAGATTCAGACTGCATGTTGATTTCCAGAATGGGAGAAAAACACATTCTTTTGGAGCAGTTGGTTTTTTCCCTAGAAAGTGAAATAGAATAAACTATTTGATATTTGGCAATTTAAATGACGTACAAAACCTGTGTTCTTTGTAAAAAAATTTTTTTATTGTGTACTTAGTTTAATTTTTAAATTTATAAACTATTAATGGAAAATGTAGAATTAGAAAACATCAAGGTTTGCATTGTTTTGATGTAAAAGGAAATTGGGTTCCCCATTTGAAGAAATAACTGTACTGGGGATTGCTCTTATATAGTTCAAAATTGTTTAATAAACTAAAAAGGTTTTCCTTATTTGGGTTTTTCAAGGTTATTATTTGAGATACAGTATATTTTTGTATAATAAAACTACCCAGTATGCAAAACTAATTTTAGCCCAGTGTTTTAAGATTTCATTTTAAAATGTTGTGAGTAGGTGGAAAATAAACGCTATTTTAACATGTTGTAGCACAATTAGTGTAGGTGTAATTATTCCCATGAGATTTCAAATGAACAGGACAAATGTTCACTTAAAATGACAAATGGCACAGAGCACTAGTTTGTTTTAAATCACTTTGTCCGTGTTCTTGATTGAAATTCATATTCAGCAGTCAACAGTGTGTTTGGGGTTATCTGGAGTTATTTCCCACTGAAGTAGGCAAATGATAAATATTTCTCAGTGAAAGTGCTCACTGAACTTTATAACAATCAAACTTATAAAAATTGGAAAAAAAGGACATTATTTTGAAGTAAAACACCACAGACCTTAGTAAAAGAGCACTAATCACTCTTATGAATGAATGATTTATTTTGTGACCACACCCTTTCATATCTTGTAGAAGGAGAAAATTGAAATTTAATATCATATTAAGAAATAGCCATTTTTAAGGTGGTTTAAAAGAATGCATCAGTTGATTTTATTAAACAGAATTTTTAAAGCAAAAACAAATTTTAGGGAAAAGGAGTGTCTGAAGCCCATTTTCTGAGGAATCTATTAAAGTTACACATTTCCTGTGAAACCTTTTGTGTAAATCACCCAGTGTATATCATTTTGAGGAAAATTAAAAGAAAAAAACCAAACTCTTGCTAACTCATGTATATCTATGTTTTAATATATAGAAGTTTAGAGTAATTTATAAAAATAATGTCTGATTTGCTGGGCTAAAATGTCAGTAATTAGTATATTTAGTTAAAATATAAAATCATACAACCAACTATATTTCACATTTCAAGTACAGCATTTTGCCTGCAAAATCATAACAAATTATAAAAGCTAATAATTTTCAGAACTCATGTTAGCCTTTCACTTGATGTAACCTTTGACAAGTTTTAGAATATAGTTTTATTTATGCATATTATTTTAAAGGTAGTGTTTCAGAAACACAAATGCTAACATTATTAATTTCTTTTGAGCTTACTAAAGGCATATATTTGAGTAAGTGAAGGTCTTAGCCAGCATTGAAATCCTATAAAAATGGAAAATTTTAAAGTGTGCCAAATTTTCTGAACTGACAGATTAAACATCAGGTTTTTGTCACATCAGTTAGATTTAGAATTAAATAAAGCAGGAGTGTCAATTTAGATGATAATTAAGGAAAATGCATCTACTCTAGAGCAAGATTCTTTTCTCTTGTAAATGTTAAACAGTGTCGTGGGGTGCATGCATCTTCTGACCTACCTGTTTGCTGTTGCCTTATGGGCCTTTTGGCTCACTATAGCAGTTTTTCACAATATGATACATGATGTCATTAACAGATTTGGACATGAATTTTTACCTGACAACAGTGAAGTAGCTGTGTTTTATTTCATGTCTTGTAGGAATTCTTTCATTTTTCTCTCCAGTACTTCAACTGCATGAATTGTGAGATTTAGTTGGCTGATGAATTTCTAAAGACCAGTACAAAATACTTGTGTTTGTTTTGCCTTAAAAAGTCACGACCGAGAGAAACTTCCTCAAATGATAGGAATTGTTTCCCTTTGAGAGAATATGTGATGATGTCTCTTTATTTTCCAGAACATGTGAAAACAAAAGAAACATAAGGTTTCTAGCTTCTAAAATGTACTTAGACATCCTTTTGTTACAAATGTAAATCTGTTTCTATAGCAGTCCTCATTATTTTGAAATGATTTCTTGGTCACATAACTTGGTTATAAGTCCAGTCCATGTTCTCTTGATAAAAACCATCTGCTATTTAATTTGGTTTGTTTTCATTAGAAGAGGATACATAATTGGTCATAAAACTCAGATGGAAAAATCCTTTAGTAATATCAATTGATACGAATATCTGAATATTTAGTGCAGAAAAATACTTGCTACAGCTTCATTTAGCTTGCTGGTAATGTATATCATTCTCTTGGCAATCCATGTTTCATTGTTTCTTCAAGAATTGGTGGCTCCACAATTTTGGTATGTTAAATTATAAACTCCCCCTTTAAAAATGCTCACCATTTTGTTTTCAGGCTTTTACAGTTATATTTTCATTTTGTGGCTGTTTTATATAGCATCTTCTTAGGATGGTTACTGTCGATGTGTTATATCCCAGCAGTAACGTAGACCTATATTCTCTGGTTTTAACTCCTTAATGTCTTAAAATCATTGTTGCAAGAATATCCTGCAGTTTGTGATTCAGACAGCTAGGGAGGTGATGGGTCAGATGCATTCTTCATATTGTCAGTTGTAAATACTGAATTAGCTGCTTTGGGCCCTTGTGAAAAAGAAAAAAAAATGGTTAAGGAATAGGGTTCCTAATAATTTCCTATTAATTGAAAGTTACTTTAGTTGTGTTTATTTAACACCATACACAGTATTTTTTATCAAAGTAAGCAAACTGTATTATTAGAGCCATGGTTATGCATAAATTTAACGGTTTCTTTAAATATTCTCTTTTCCTAACAAAGACTGTAAGTATAATATTTAGTAATAGAGTTAACATTACAAATATTACCATGAAAGAAAAGCTGTATTTTTTAAACCAATTTCTGCTCTCATTTTAGAAGTTAACCTGTATTTTCAGAGATTATGAGCAATTAGCATACATTAAACATACTGTCATTCCCTCTTATCTTTATAATAAATTTTACAGTATTTCCTGCTGTAAAATATTGTCGCTTGCTTATCAGCACATGGTTTGAATTATAACTGATTAAAACAGATTCCATGATAAAACACTATAAATTTCCATTGATGAACTGTTCATGTAATTGAAATGTAAAGGGTGATGTAAAAGGTGACTGCAAATTAAATAATTTTCAATGAGCATGCCCAATAATAAACCTAAAATTGAGTAATAAATAATAGCTAAATAGTAAAACTGATTCTTTCAAGAAATATAAGCATTTTTTGAACACTTCAGAAAGACTACTGATGAAATTAAGGATATTCAGTATATCTGAAGTGACTTAAAAAGCTGATATCTATCTTCAGAGTGATTCAACAAAGAATATTCTTTGTATTTAACATTGCATCCTAAAAAAATACATTTAAAACATATCATGTCTTAAAATAAATAGATCTAAAAGATACATGTTTAGCAATAAGTAAAATTAAGCAAATAAACTCTTAAAATTTAGGCTGAAATTTTTCAAAGTAATTTTACCCCACTATGCTGGTTTAAAAGCAGCTGAATACTATAATAAGGAACACATCTTACCTCTGCTAAAGATTTGATAAATTCTTGATGTAGTTGAAGCATTTCCAGTTTTGATTGATTCATTTTGTTCACTGGTTAGTAGAGGACTGGGGGAAGAGGGTCATAAACACCTCTTCGAAAAAGACCTTAATGAAAATGTGTGTCTGTACTGTGCCATTGTTTCAGCAGTACTGCTAATGTATGGAACATGTAGTGCTGCTTGGAGGCTGCTGCAGTCTCTCACTCTTCCTACTGTGGAATCAATAAGCATCTGAAAATACATAATGAAAGTAATTTAACATACTGAAGGCTTCTTGTCTCCAGAGACAGCACTTAGGTTCAGTCTTTCTAAAAAGGAATGGCACTGCTTTTCAGAGGAAAGCCTGTTCTGGGCAGCTTTTGCAGAATGACAGCCTACCTTGTGGCTTCTCTCCACTGCAGAGAGATGCAGTGCATTCACTAATTTTGATTGGTCAGTTGTATTGGGCTTAAATTGTGCTTCATATGTATAGCAGGGATCCCCCCCCCCCACTGTTTTATATAAGGATGCTTTTTTAAAAGGCTGTAGTTATAAGTGGTTGTGTGTTGCTCTTAAATAGAACAGGAGTAAATTAGTCTTTAAAAAAATGCGTATTCTGGTTTGTTGTTCACTTTTGCCAAACATTAAAAAGATATAGGGTGGTGGTGTTGGGGGGGGCAAGAAAGAATTACATAGTAAAATGTATATATTCTTTTTAAAGCCTCGGATAATTGCACTTGAAAATATTTTAGTTGTATATATGTTTTTTTGTTGAGATTCTTTGTTCTACAAATAGAAGGGGACTGCATCTTTACTGTGAACCACATTGAATTTCAACTAGTTTGTTTGTATTCAGGTCATCTTCTCTGTGTATTCCAAATTGTTGTGAACATCTCAAGGTGTTAAATATTATGACTGCAGTAGTCATTCATTCAGGTATTCATTCATTCATTCAAAATATTAAAAAGCTTAATTTAAGGTGATTACACCCTACAATTTTTTTTTAATTCCACTGCTATTAGTAGAGTCTCAGTATGAAAAGATTTAATCATGTGCATTACTTTTGATATTACTATTCAGTCTTCACCTCTGGTAACCCGTGCTAGTAGATATGTACCGATCATGTGCCATCATATTTTATTTCAACTGCTGTTTCTGTTTTTAACATGGGTACTTTTAGTGGATTGCTATACTCTAATGTCGTATGCAGCTGTATGCTAATGTTATTGGGTAAATATATTGGTAAAGGAAAAAGGAAGTTAATTACATGTCTTCATAAGTTACAAAGCTAAATTATTTTAAGATATGCTGTCAAAAGAATTAAAAACAATGGTGTAGATAACAAAATATTACTTTAAATTTAAATTTCTGTTAATTTTGGTTACTTATGAATAATTTTCTATTTTCAATATTGAGGAACACATTGAGGAAACCTTTTTCTTAGACTTGAGTATATAAAGTGGCTGGATTCTATATCTCTTAACAAAACAGAAGACATTGCAAATCACTGAATTATTAGAATATTGATTACCTATTTCCATTATTTTAGGAATGTTAGTGATGTGCATTTTTTAAAATATGTGCTAGGTTTTTAATTTGTAATTGAAGTTACTGTTTATAATTTTGAAAATCAGTATACATTTTAATCTTCCACTGCTAGTGTTTAAGCTGCACAGGGGGCTGGCTGAATAGTATATGAGCTGTGAGTTGCATTTCCACAGAAGTTGAGAGTAATGTGGTGGAAAATTTTGCTGTGAATTTCTACAGTTTTCTGCAGAGCTTTGGGTGGCAGGGCTTTGATAATGATAAAAATTAAAATACTGTGCTACTTTTCATGCATTTTGAAAATTGGAGAAAAGGATCTTAGAATGCCAGCCATGCTGAAAGGTAGCGCAGGTGTGCACATGCACACATATAGTGTTGTTTGCAGCTTAAAACTAAAAGTAAAGAAAGGATATCAGTTGAAACTTGTGGTAGAGATGAGAAGTTATTAACATGGTGAAATACATATAGTGCTTTTCTCCCAAAGAATTCAAGTATTTGCTTACATTTATTGTCAAAATATCACCATGAAGTAGAGGAAACAAAGGCAAAGAGAAGTTTAATGACATGAGAAGGTGTGGGTAAGTTAGTCAGTCTAGGTAAGTTAGAAGTCTGCAAACCCCCTTCTAACTATATATAGCTGGCCCTCTCTCTTTGGAAAATTCTTAGGGTAGTTTTGACTTAAAATTGGATGATTTGGGTTCAGTCACTACTTATTAGTTACATGACTTTTGAAAAGTCAAGCATTCTCTGGGTCACGATATAGCTTTGACTTTTTAAATTGATGTATATTTCTGTGTTTTGTTTAGCTCTCTGTGAGACAGTATTTCCAAGTTATACTCAGACTGTTTTGAAAAAATAAATTCTGGGATCTCTGTAAGACATAATGACAGCAAGAAAGTTTAGGTCTAGACAACACCTTTTATTCCCTGTGACTTGTGGTTAGGGATACACAAGATATTACAAATTATGGTTACTTCTTACTGCATACAATGCTTAGTATATTTTTCTTTTTCTTTCTTATTTTATTTTTTGGCCGTGCCACGCAGTTTGCAGGGTCTCAGTTCCCCGACCAGAGGCTGAACCTGGGCCATGGCAGTGAAATCCCCGAATCCTAAGTACTACCAGGGAATTCCCCTATAATTTTCTTTTTTAAAACCACAAATTGGTTTGATGATTATAAGGTTCTTTGATCTCTTAGCAGGATAATTCTAAATTCCTTTGTTTTTAGCAAAGAAGAAGATATCTAAACCCCTTGAGTGAGAATCAGATTATATTCTTTTCATGAAAAAAATTAATATCGAATTATAAACATCAGAATTTACAGATTCTTACTTCCATAGCAACAGATTTTCACAATTTTGCATTTAATATATTTTGTATTCATATAGGATACTAATTTTGAAAAATGCTGTAATTAGTGATTTAAAACCAAATGTTACAAAATCATTTTATAGATTACTTATTAATTAGTTAATAATAACCTGGGAAAGCAGTTTAAGTTTCCTAATAATAACTAAGCAACAGATGTGAATCTAACACTCACATATCTCTATTAAAATCCCTCTTCACAAGCTGTGTTTTTCTTTAAGTTAAAAACATTTTGATTTTTATTTAGTTTAGGAACTAAAATTCCTGATATGGGAGTCCTTGACTTTTAATTTTATATATTTGCCTCCTTAAGTTTGGACAACTTTGAGTATGAGAGAGTAATTTACTGTTCACATTTAAATGTACTGTTCTTATCAGATCATTCTTATCTAGCTTGTGTCTGTCTCTAATGCTACAGAATTTTTGATGATTTTGAATTTGTAAATAAAAATCCTCAACTTTGTGAAATATTGGAATTAACCACAACTGACAGTGCTTTGAAACTATTTGCAAAGTATATATGCGAAAGCAGTTTCTAATTGCTGAAAAATCACTTTTTAAATTATATTGCTTCAAGAGTACTTTTTCAGTGAATACTTAACATAGCTAACTCTCAACTCTCTCTGATACTAGAGGCCAAGGTAGAAAGGATTATTTCAGTTTAAAGCCAATTCAAAAATTTCATTTGGCTTCTCAACTTTAAATTTCTATCACAACAAATGTTTTACCAGAAAAATAGAAGTGGACCATCTGCTGAAGCCTCCCTCAAGTGGGGAGTAGCCAGGGTAGCAGAGAGTCAACAATATTGGTGATTCATTATCTATAAAAGAGGATAATTGAAAACTGATTATAATTGGATAAAGTACATGCATAAGAATTGTATGTCTTAACCGAAAAACTCCAGCATTCTTCCCCATCCTTCCCTATCTCACCTAAGTTGGGCATTTAAAATTTTTCATTTTTATTTTTCACAGTATGTGATTGTAAGTCATCTGCCAGCGTCTATTACAGCAATGAATACATGGCATTTCTTTCCTTTTTTCTCATCCAAACCTCGATTTTGGACCCTGTGACTATTACTACTTCTTAATCTCCGTCTGTTGTCCTACTGTTGGCATGTTGTTTGGGGCCCTTGTCCAAATTATTACGACCCATGACCCTAATTTACTGGCATGCTCTTTTGACTGCCTTATACCCCTTTTTGCATTTTAAAATATTACGGATTTTGTTGATGTTTTTCTCATATTTCCATCAAAGAATTACACACACATGTTTATGCTTTTTTTTTCCACATTGGTTTCTCTTTCTGTTGCTGCTTCATTTTTCTTATAATTCTTCTATTGTAGGTTATTATGCAGGATCAAATTCATTTCTGTGTTCTGAAACTAAGTCAGCTGATTAACTAGATTATATTTAACAAAGCTATGGCAAATCCCTTCTTATGTGCTGTTATGAGTCCTTTGCTTATTTATTATCCTTGTTTATTTTTAGTAGAGAGAAATATTGATACAATTATTTTTTGTATGTTGACCTTGTATCCTGCAACTTCACTAAACTCGTATATTAGTCTTGGGAATTTTTTTTGTGAATACCATGGTATTTTCTGTACAGACAATTAACGTTGTCTGCAAATAGAGACAGTTTACTTCTTCTTGAACCATGTGTAACTTTTATTTCTTTTCTTGCCTTATGCTACTGTGTAGGACCTCTGGTATTAGATTTGATAAAAGTGTGTTGGGAGAAGCATTCTGCCATGGGCCCTGAGCATCCCTGAAGGTCCTAGGGCATGCTGGGGATTGCTGGGCATGCTAAGAATGAAAAGACCTGACTGTTCTTTACCTGGTCCATTTCTCAGGGTTGTGTTGGAAGCTAGCCACTTGGAGGGATGCAATAATAACTCCCCAAAGAGCAGACTTGCTTCTGCTTGTTATAAAAATGGTAAATTGTCCAGCACAGTGTTCTTTGGCTGTGATGCAAACCTACTGTATCCAGAGTATCCAAGCAGGTCCCTCTGCCAGGAGGACTTGGATAGGAAAGTGAACTGTCAGAGTGACATGATCTCTCATACTGCTTGCTGTGTCTTCTGCCAGTATACATGACAGAAACAAGCTAGCTTCATAGCCTGCAAATACGGTAAAATCCTAGACCCTTCACGATTTCTGACAATATTGGCAACGAGGACATGATGTTGACTGATACATGGCTTCCTACAAAAGAGAAGACAAGGGCCCTTGTGGGCTGGTTTAGAGAGCATGAAATGCAATAGCAAATGCTCTTGTTTAAGTGGTGGGCTAGTAGATCTTTTACTGACTTACGTGTTAATGAGTTCTTAGAGGCTAAGCAGTTAAATGAAGCTGCCCAAATGGTACTATGGTTGTTGCTCAGGCTCCAGGCTATAGGAAGAAATAATGTAATTACATCTGTGAGGCAGCAAGCCTCTGGGCCTCCGCAGAAGGCAGTATGACTGTAGCTACTGAATCAAGGGCTCCCCGGAGCTAAAATAAAAGGCGTTCAGCAATGAGGATACAGAGCTTTGGATAGACTTAATACGTTATAAGTTCGTTTG